TTCCTGGCAGTTATATATATATATATATATATATAACTGCCAGGAAGTATCAAGAGAAAAAGGAAAAAAACAAGGCACGTTGCATTTTCACAGATTTGTATAAGATAAAAGATTAAGTCTGGAAGAAATCCTCACTCTCTGTGCTAACCCCAAACACAAATGCACTGAGCCCCTGGCTATCTTGATGAAATAATCAGGAAGGCCCATGGCTGACTTGCATAGAGGTGGCTCCTACCTCTCTGGGGGAACTTGTCTCTCAAACAGGAGATGCGACACCAGCTGGGAAGAGCTCTGTTGCAGCAGAACAAAGGGATTTCCTACCTTGACCTCCACATGATCTGCAAAGGTAAAGAATATGATCTTTGTTTGCACCACTGACTGCAAGAGTTCAAAGCCCTGTTTCCCAGAATCAAGAAAAAAGTAAAGTGTCAAAATGAAGACAATATTGAGAGCCTTCTGTTAATTCATTCTAGGTAAAAGGTATTCTCAGCATGAACCTGACCACAAGTTTATCTATATCTTACCACTGCTCTAAAGACTTCCAACCCCAGATGAACTTCAGTGGGCAGGTCTAGCCATGGACACATAACTCCTGCTCTCTTCAACCCAATGGAAGTGCATGCAGTACTCACTCTGCGGGCTTAGGAAAGAATCTGGCACTCAGACTTGATTCCTCTGCTGGGCCCTCAAATCCACAGTGGACCACAGGTCTGACAGAGATATTTTTGAGTCACTAATTCCATGAAAATTGAGTACTCCCATGTGCCTTACAATTAAACTAGCACAAGATGAATACAATAGCCAGAGATGGGGCCGGGCACAGTGGCTCACACCTGTAATCTTAGCACTTTGGAGGCTGAGGTGGGCAGATCACGGGGTCAGGAGTTTGAGACCAGCCTGGCCAATATGGTGAAGCCTCGTTTCTACTAAAAATACAAAAATTAGCTGGGCGTGGTGGTGCACACCTGTAGTCCCAGCTACTCAGGAGGCTGAGGCAGAAGAATCACTTGAACCTGGGAGGCAGAGGTTGCAGTGAGCTGAGATCATGCCACTGCACTCCAGCCTGGGCAACAGAGCAAGACTCTGTCTCAAAAAAAAAAAAAAAAAAGTCAGAGATTAATAAGCGAGGAAGACCTTACAAATCTAGTGTTCTTGGTTGCTGCTGTTATCTAGAGCCTTTTAATTGTGCATCTTTTCTCTTCCTTGCCCTGAATGCTAGAAGTCCTGCCATAAATCTATTGCCTCTTTCTTGCTACCTACCAGGCTCAGAGCTCAAACTTCGAAGGAGAACTGCAGCAAGCCTGCTGCAGTAACTGAAGAAGGTACCCAAATAGTCCATCTGCCTGCTGCCTGCTGGGGTCTGTTTGCCCAGGTTCTTCTGGAGAAGCTGAGTCTGGATCTGCACAGGGTGGGCCTCTGCTTCTGAAGCTTTCTGGGCTGCTTGTTCCACCAGGGAAGAGAGTGGAGGAGTCCTGGGCTCTGAGAGGAGTATGGCAGGAGAAAGAACACAGCCTTTAGTCTGTGCGTCCAGCTCTGGGTCAATTTCTGACTGGATATGTGAACTGGGCCTACTATACACTGCCTGGGGCATCTGACAGCCGCCTGGGCACTACACTTACAAGGCAAATATAAATTTGTAAGTCAGTCACTCAGACAAGTGATTCTCAGCCAGGAAGAGCTTTGAGTCTGGAGTGTATAAAATTACTATGGGGTGTATAGTTCTATTTTTACCCTTGTTTCTGGGGTAGAACAGCTTAATGAAGAACATAGCCAGCTTTTGGGGAAGGGTTCATCAATATTTACTGAGCACCTGCTGGCTGTATTTCTCATTCATTGTGAGAAAAATGTATTAGCTAATGCAGTGTTCACCATACATGAGAGGTGGGAAAACAGGTGAAGTGAAGTTATGAGACACTGAGACATGACCTGGCTAACTAAAGGGCTGATGGAGCCCAGGTCTGGGGTCCCAAGCTTCTGTGCCAAAGTGCTTTGTCACTCTCAGCTATTTCCTTTCCCCAGTTCAGCTCTTATCTGTTCCTGAGCAGACAGCCTTGTACCTGGCAGCTCTAGTGCCTCTCTCAGTGACTGAAGGACCTGATCTAGCTGCTGGGAGAGGGCGGTGTGGCTGGCAACACAGTCCTCAGTTAGGCTGGGCCAGCACATCTGAAGCAGTTCAGTGATGCTGCATCGTAGAGGGCCTCCTCCCTTTTCTTCCACACTCTCTATGGAAAGAAAATGAGAAAGAAAAAGTGAAGTCTGCTGCTGACCTAATATTCCAAATCCAGAAGAAAAGAGAAAAAAGAAACTCACCTGATTTAGTTTGACCGGCTGTCATAAGCAAGTAATTGAGAATCTTACTGATTTGCTGAAGAACAACTGGAAAACCTCGAATGCCATCGGCAATTAGGAGTACGTGGTCTATCCGTCGACCTGGAAATAGATGAAAAAAGAAGGAATGCAAAAAAAAAAAAAAGACATTGAGGTATTTTCAGAGATTGACACTCAGTCCTGTATGTACCTGTGGAATTTTATCCTCTTCAATATTAAGGAGGAAATATATGCTGTGCCATTTGGGGTGACAACCAGTATACTTCGCTAATTTCATGCCTGAGATTCTAGGACTGCCTCTGGCAAGATGCCTCAGCTGTCAACAACATCAGCAGATTCAGAATCTCCAGCACTCCTATGGAATTGCTGTCCCAAGCCAAATGGATTTGCCATGGTACTGCCCTAAGCTGTGAACTTGGGCGGGGATCATATCTGTCTTCTTTAATTGCTTTAAGAGGTATCTTGACATTCCAACTAGACTATAAACAACTTTATGAACACAGATTATGCTTTATATCTCTCCTATACTCCCATATACTTGGGATAATCTGGAAATACAGTGGTCACTAAATTAATCCCCAAATCAGTGTATTGAAGAGATATTTGCACTCCCATGTTTGTTGCAGTACTGTTCATAATAGCCAAGATTTTGAAGCAACCTAAGTGTTCATCAGCAGATGAATGGATAAAGAAAATGTGGTACCTATACACAATGGAATACTATTCAGCCATAAAAAAGAATGAGATATAATCATCAACAACATGGATAGAACTGAAGATCATTGTGTTAAGCGAAATAAGCCAGGCACAGAAGGACAAACATGACATGTTCTCATTTATGTGTGGGATCCAAAACTCAAAACAACTGAATTCATGGGGATAGAGAATAGAAGGATGGTTACCAGAGGCTGGGAAGGTAGTAAAGCATGGGGGATGATGGAGATGGTTAATGGGTATAAAAAATAGAGGCCAGGTGTGGTGGCTCACACCTGTAATCCCAGCACTTTGGGAGGCCAAGGTGGGTGGGTGGTGAAACCCATCTCTACTAAAAACATAAAAATTAGCTGGGCGTGGTGGCACATGCCTGTCATTCTAGCTACTCGGGAGGCTGAGACAGGAGAATCACCTGAACCAGGAGACAGAGACTGCAGTGAGCTGAGATCATGCCACTGCATTCCAGCCTGGGTGACAGAGTGAGACTCTGTCTCAAAAAAAAAAAAGTTAGAAACAATGAATAAGACCTAATATTTAATATGACAACATGGGGACTATAGTGAATAATTCAATTGCACATTTAAAAATAGCTGGAAGAGTATAACTAGCTTGTTTGTAACACAAAGGATAAATGCTTGAGTGGATGGATACCCAATTTTCCATGATATGACTGTTACTCATTGCATGTCTGTACCAAAAAATCTCAAATACCATATAAACATATACGCCAAATATGTACTCACACAAATTAATAAAACAAGACTTCCTTATGGATTGACATGAAACTGTTTCAGTGATTAAGAGCTTGAAAAATATTTTATTTTAGGATGTAAGTATTAGATGAGGGGAAGGGCAGATTATTGGACAAAAACAGCATTGTATATACCGTATACTTTCTTTGAAGGACTATGTAAACATTAAAGGACATTATAACTGACAGCTCAGAGGTGTTTTGGAGGGGTGCATAGAAGAGTTAAATAGTGGGCTTGATGCTGCTATCCTTAGAACATCTGCTTGCAAGGTTGGCCCTTGGCTGGCACTGTGGACTTGACTGGTAAGAAGTTTCCTATGCTGATATAAAACTTTCCCTAAGTGACAGTAGCTCAATGGGCCTAAAAACTTTGTACGATGTGATTTATGCTGAGCACCTGCTTTCCTTTTGGGAATCTGGAATTTGCTACATGCTAAGCAGAGAGTGTTTTCATCACTAGTCCTCAAAAAAAACACCTCGGGTCTTGGGTCTCTAATGAGCTTCCCTATAGACAATACCTTGCAACTGCTGGTACAACTCATTGCTGGAGGAATAAGCGTGTCCTGTGTGACTCCACAGGGAGAGGACTCTTGGAAGCTTGGACCTGGTTTCCTTCAGATTTTATCCTATGAGCCTTTTACTTTGCTGATTTCTCTTTGTATCCATTTGCTGAAATAAATCTTAGCTCTATGACTGTATCTGATTGGATGTGATGAAATTTCATAATCCATTTGCCATGTGCTTCTTCCAATAACTGCTTTCTTCCTGGACAATTTACCAAGACTCTCAGAAACCCATCTCATTTGAGAATGAAGGGATATAGTTAAACACAGCACACTCACCCCGCCTTTCAAGGCTACTGTTCAAACGCCGTTCGGCCGTCTCCAAAAGCTGCTTGCAGGTTTTCCAGAGCTGGCATTGAGAGCAAGCTAGGTCAAACGCAGCCATGGCAGGGGGACTGAGGTCTTCCAGAACCTCTCTCAGGGGAGGAGTGGGCTCCATCAGAGCTGTGTTTATCCAAAAGTCCTCCTGGAGCGTGGGGATGGGCTCTCCAGAGGTGCTGAGCAGCTTGTCGGTCACATCAGAGATAGAGTAAAACACCATTCCTGGCCATCAAGCAGTGAAATAAAAAGCAAGGGGTTAAAATGATTCTCACTACAACTTTTATTAGGCAAAGTAGTTATTTAAAAAATGTTCACCTGCACAGGGTACCTTCTATGTATATTAGTACTATCATTATGGCCCATGCTTGTGGATTCAAAACAGTAGCACGAAAGGAAGACCAAGAGAAACTCTGAGTGGTCCAGATGAAGGAGGGCTTCTTCCAAATGGGGTCTCAAAGTAGGTTCAGAAAGAATGAGGTAGATGTGTGTGTGCTAATCAGAAAAGATCTCTAGACCACATCGCTAAAAAGCAAGGTAGACTGTAGCATTGTCCTAAGAGCCTATTTATATTAAAAGCAGAAAGGATGTGTATATGTTCTTGTGAATAGGCAAAGAAAATTTCTGGGATAATATACAGGGAGCAATATGTGATGGTACCTTGGTATGTAGAGCCTAGGTCAGTAAGAGTTGTGAAAATGTGAAAGATGATTCCAGCTTCAAGAAATAATGAAAGGATGGGCTCTTTTGCAGTGCATCCAAGGTTGGGAAATTGAGACCTGTGAATTCTAGGGCTTATATTTTAATATCCAACTTCACTTTATAGAACAGTAAAATAATATGCTTTATCCCTGAATAACTTACATGGGAAGGAAATAAACTCCTAACCATTTCCTGAAGCCAGAGACAGTGGCCATCAAAACACAGGTTAAAAATAGTGTTCATAGGCTTCAGTTTATGTCACATAGGATAAGCTTCATGCAGTAGGTCGAGTGGTGGTGTGTGAGCAGCCTGGGCAGGGAAGTTGGGCGCAGCTGGAAAACTGGATGGATAGAGTTTGCTGTTTTTCAAGGCAGCTGTCCTGTATTGAATTTCTGCTCACTCTCATGAGCAGCCTAGGATTCTGGTGGTTTCTTCCCTTTTCCCCTCTTTCCCGGCTACCTCATCATTTATAGTGTTAGCAGGGAGGCCTGACCTGCTGCCGCAGCGCTGCCAATGGCCTGTAGAGTTGAGCGGCCACTGCCAGTTCTCCGAATGGTGTTGCTACCCCCATCTGTGTTCTGGTTTTCAATCTTGTGCTCTACTTGGGCCAGCTCTTGGATCACTTCCTGGTAGCGCTCCATGAACATCAGTTCCCCTGAACTGGGTGAGGACTTCAGGTTGAATGTGAACAGCACCTGTCATGGGAAAGGGAGAGTGTAGGCCCTGGTGGTCCCACTGATTTAGGGAATGTCCATAGACAGGAGATCTTGCCAACCATTAGACTGTGGCCCTAAGATGTATTTGTGCTTTGTAGGGTCAGAAGAGCACTGAATGTTAGAAGAGCAGGTCAACTATAAAAAATAATTCATAAAAGAAAACCACCAAAGCCTCAGTAGAAAATAGGCAAAAGCTGTGGACAATTTCAGAGAAAATATATATGACTAGCATATCAATGAGAAAATATTTTTTCCCTTATCAGCAATCTAGGAATTTAAGTAACAATACCATTTGGCATGTATCACAATAACAAAGTGCAAAAACAAACCTTTAGGAGCTGGTGTAACATTGTCACAACTTTTTTGACAAGCAGTTTGGCAATCTATAAAGCTTTCAAAGTGTTTCTATCTTTTGACTCAATAATTTTTTTTTTTTTTTTTTTTTTTTTGAGTCGGAGTTTCACTCATGTTACCCAGGCTGGAGTGCAATGGCACGATCTCGGCTCACCGCAACCTCCGCCTCCTGGGTTCAGGCAATTCTCCTGCCTCAGCCTCCTGAGTAGCTGGGA